TTATGTCAATTACAATGTGTTGTTAATAATTGGCTAGTGTATGTTGTGTAGGATTGAGGATCCTACTGTATCCATTTTATATCTTAATTTAATATCAAGCTGTAAAGTTTTTAAATAAAATATAAAAAAAAAAAAAAAAAAAAAAAAAAGATTCTTTAAATCTTATGATACACTTAATAATAATAAAAATTTGCACCTTACTAAAGCAGATAAAATAAGTGCAATAGTAATTATGAAAGAAAATGATTACCAAGAGAAAATGAATAATCTCCTGGATGACACTGAAACCTATTCTAAACTTAAAAAAAAATCCCTTAGAAACTATTAACAGCAATTTCAATAAAACAATAAAACTTCTACTGCAAGGCAAAGATGAATTAATCAAACAATTTACTTCCACTAATCCATCTTACATATATGGACTAATAAAAACACACAAACCAGGGAATGCAGTCAGACCAATTATTAGCTCCATAGGGTCAGTTTCATATAAATTATCCAAGTGGCTTGTTGACATTTTGAGCCCAATAGGGCTCAAAATGTCAACAAGCCACTTGGCAAAATTTCTAACTTTAATGTTAAAAACAACATAGATTTAGTTGATAAATTAAGCTCCTTGACTGACTTAAATGATTTTAACATGGTTGGTTTTGATGTTACGTCCTTGTTTATGAAAGTTTCTGTTGATGATTTATTAAGTTTCTTATCTGAAGAACACGTTAATTATGATTTACCATTGCCAGTTCTTACTATCATTAAACTTATGAAGCTTTGCATTGTTGATTGAAAATCTGTATTTAATGATAAGTTTTACACTCAGAAGTTTGGTATAGCAATGGGAAATGCTCTTTGACCTGTTGTTAGTAACCTATACATAGAATTTTTTGAAACAAGACTGCTTAACACAGTCCTCCCTAATAGAGCTAAATGATTCATATATGTTGATGATATTTTGTGTCTTATGCCCAAGAATGTAGATATGCACCATTTCCTTGGTAAATTAAATAGCTTAGCCCATTCTATAAACTTTACTGTTGATTTTGAGGAAAATGACTCATTGCCTTTTCTGGATGTTTTAATTATTAATGGTAATAATGAATTCAATTTTAAAATTTACAGAAAGCCTTCGAATAACTTTTCCTATGTACAATATTATCCTTCACATCAAGATAGAGTTAAACTGTCTGTTTTCTCATCAATGTTTTTGAGAGCTTTGCGTATTTGTAGTCCAGAGTTCATAGATGATGAAATATCCAAAATTTATGAAATAGTTAATGATTTGAAATACCCAAGAAACGTAATTGATAAATCTTTTAAAATTGCTAGAAATACTTTTTACAATCCGAAAATCGACAACCACCCTTATTCAACTAAAAATATGTTGGTTCTCCCTTACCATGAAAACTTGGTTGATATGCCTTCTCTTCTTAAGACTTTTAATATCAAAGTTGTATTTAAAAATCTTGATACAGTAAAAAAAACTTTTGGTAAAGAATTTTCCCCAAAATGCTGATGGATGTGTCTATAAGATTACTTGCAAAATCTGCGATAAAGTTTATTACGGTCAACTGGTAAAAGTCTCGAACTTAGATTAAAACAGCATAAATATAGCATTAGAACTGGACAAGATTCCAATGCTCTATTTATTCATGTGAGAGAATTTAACGATCCAATTGATTTTCAAAAAGTTGAGAAAGTTGTATCAAGCAAGTCCATGGTCGACAGGAAAATAACTGAATCTTGTTTCATAAAAAGCTGTTTTGACAATAATATGAATATTTCATTTGGTTTATATAAATTAGATCCATTTATTATTAATAGAATCTGGGAAGAATTTAATAATACAATGGACAAAAAATAAATTTTAAAATTCTTAATTCTTTTGCAGAATAGTTTGTTGGTGGGTTTGTTTGAAGGACCTGTCTAGTTTGTCCAGTGGACCTGCTGCAATGTTCCCTTTCTTATGAGTCGCGCGTCAGGTGTTGCTTTGTTGTGGGATGTTATAGTGAGGTGTTGTCTAGATAGTTTATATGCCTTACTTAGATGCATTACTTTCGTTGTTCCTTGATAATGTGAGTAGTCACGAAAGCGCTTGGAAGTTCTCTATTCTTTCACAGTGGTTGTTTTGCACACACACACACACACACACACACACACACACACACACACACACACACACACACACCACACACATATATATATATATATATATATATATATATATATATATATATATATATATATATATATATATATAATTATATATATATATGCATTATAACCAGAGGGAAATGTACTTATCCATATTCCTTGATAATGCGAGAGATCACTAACATGATGTATTACAAATGTTGTTTTTGGCTCAGAAATGTATTGGAAAATTCTAATTAATAAAAATAGTGCAGCCCCAAGAGGGATCGACCCTCTGACCTCCGGCAAGTTTAAAGAAACCGGCGCTCTACCAACTGAGCTATGGAACACTTGTCTTCATTTACTTCATAATCTTATTAATAAGTAAGTTTATTCAGGTATACACAAACACAGTTACATAGATTATCATACACAGCAGCATATATGTAAAGTATCTTGGATAACCCAGAAAAGTCAGAGTGACTTATTTCCATTTTGGGCCTTTCCATTGGATGCCTTTAAACTGGTGATGAACTCTTGATCAAAGAAATTGGAGTTACTCTCCTATACCACGATTAAGCCTCATTATTTCCCATTATTCATTTGTAAGAAAGTAAATTTATTTAGGTACTTGTACACATAAATATAATAACACAAATTATCATACATAAATAACCTCAAAAAAGTCAAACTTATTTTTTTCTATTGGGGTTTTGGTAATATCTTATTTTTTTAAACATTAAAAGTTAAAACAACTAAGTAACACAACTGCGTGATAATCAGTTACAATAAATGGAGATGTACCATGAATAATGTAGGTTCTCTACACATGTGTTGCTATGTATGATAATCTATGTAACTGTATATGTATATTCCTGAATAAACTTACTTGCTGTTATTTCCTTCACGGGTTTACCTCCCTCCAAATAGATAAAATTGGTCAATTAGCAAGAATTCTTTTAAAATTAAGTCCTTTCTAAAATTTTCTCTTATACATTAAAAGATATATTTTTTTCATTGATGTTAATGTAAAAACTAATAATTTTGTATCAAAAGAACTTTAGAAAACTTACCTAACCTTATCATAACAAGCGCAATTTAAATTAGCCTAATCCAACTAAGTATATTTTAGATAAGTTTACAATAATTTAATAATACACAAACATAATGAAATATATTTTTTTCGTTAGGATCGGAATGATTTTTTCAAAATTATTGCATACACAAATTTTTGCTTGCCTTATTCGGCAAGAAGAGCACTACTATTTAAACCAAAAATCACAAGTTTTACCTATTTGGCACGACATATACATGGTACAGATTTTTATTGCAAAATACCCTTAGATCTGTAGCTCACAATAGATACCTAATTTTACTACTGCATTGTCCACATACAGGTTGTTGATATACGCCCTTGCTGCATGAACCGCTGCTTCACTTTCTTGAGGGGCCCCAAAGCCAAGCTGGTTTGGGTGAAGCATCATGGCTGCCTCTGTATGAATACTTCAAACAGCAGCTTTGGAAACGAGGTGGCGAAGAGTGTTGCTCAAGGCAACTTGCTTAATTCGTCCTTGTGCTTTTAAGAGCACAAAGTGATGAACCAAAAAAGAAAGATTTAGTTTCGTCAGGAATCAGACCAGCCAAGGAGTTGTTAGTGAATCATTTAATCTCTGATAGCAGTATCTCTGCAATCTCCCTGATACCTTGATTAACCATTTCTTTTAAATGTTTGTTGTCTTATTCCAGTGTAGCCCCCAACAGAACCATATGGGAACAACATAATTGCTTTGTAAACGTCTGAGTCTTGCATAAACAATGGATCCACAGTGGGAACAGGGTTGTTAGAAATGCTGGTGCCCCTGGTTTCCCTGGCAGCTTGCTTTTCTCTACGTGCCTGAGAAGTGTCAGCATCTGTGGGGGCAACTCTATCCATGCTGGTGATTGCTCTGATTGCCCCAATTGTGTTGCCCTCTTTAGTTTTTTGTTCACCTGGACTCTGATTTTTTCGTTGTCACTGGAATGATTAGGGGGATCTGCCTCTCCCATTTTCGTGTTGAAGGGAAAGGCAAATGAGATTGTCAGCTTTGGGAAAATTGCTTAAAGATTTATTGACAGCCGAGGCTAGAGACTTGCTACCTCTTTCTTGCACAGCTTAACAAGCATTTTCAAAAAGTAGCAAGTTGTGCCAAGCCTTGATGGTTCGTGGAGCATTTAGAATAGCTGAATCATCGTTTACTTTTTTAAAGAGGTCTGTGAGTTTCCCAGCTGCATATGAACGTCCTGCTTTGGGATTATGTTGGAGTGTCCTGGTATCTGTTGATTTGATTGCCTCTAAGTTATTATTTGAGGAGATGAGGCATGTTGGAGTGCGTTCAGGTGGTTGAAGTGACAGAAGGTCATCACTTTCCAAGAGAGAATATCCTGAACCAGGGCGGCTACCACGTTTGAGAAGAAAACTATTTAATGTTGAGGCCACAATCCTGTAAACACAATTGACACTTGCCTCTCCTAATATTGTTAGCTGCACAATTTTTTTGGTTGCTACTTTCCTCCTGATTAACATCCAACCAGCTGGCTAGATTATGGAAGATACGAGAAACTGGGTGGAGCATATTTATAGAGGAGGCATTACACTTGATGCAAGGAGGATATGTGGTAGGTGGAGGAAGTATGTTTCACCCTGGTAGGACATGAGGGAAAGGAAGGGAAAACTGCATTCTACCCTAGGGGGTGGCAGTGTGTACTCACCTAATTGTGGTTGCAGGGGTCGAGACTCAGCTCCTGGTCCCGACTACTTCACTAACGTGAAGTATTTATTACATATATATTTTTTTTTGGCTCAACAGTTTTACAAATTATAATTGAAAATATTGCAGCCCCAAGAGGACTCGAACCTCTGACCACCAGCAAGTGCAAGGAAGCTGGCGCTCTACCAACTGAGCTATGGGACAATTGTAATCAACATGTATTAATGTTGATAGAATTATCGACAATATGTTAGGTAAATGAACACAAGTGCAACTAATGTATTGTGGCAATGTTTCGCTCTCCATGAGCTTTATCAAGTCGTTACAAACAATACATGGAAATATAGACACATATGCAGTATAATGTGATCCTTTATTGACTACGTTTCGCCCACACAGTGGGCTTTTTCAAGTCACAAACAGTTCTGTTTGTGACTTGAAAAAGCCCACTGTGTGGGCGAAACGTAGTCAATAAAGGATCACATTATACTGCATATGTGTTTATATTTCCATTATGTCGGTATTTTATACCATTTATTTCCACAAACAATACATGGACACAAAGGGTATATATATAAGCTTAGAAGTGTAATACTAGTGGTGGTAGTAGTAGTAGTAGTAGTAGTAGTAGTAATATTAGTTGTAGCAGTAATAATACAATATGGTAGAACAATCAACTAGCACATTAGTAAAAAGTTGTAAAAGCCATTACTTGGGTAGCATAAAAATGGGTTAGACAAATATTTCTGTTAGTGGTTGAATTTGAGAAGGTCTGTTTCAGTGTTCCTCCTCTGTTATGTTCTTGTGTAGAAGTAGCAGCAAAGACTATGTGATGGTAGGGTTTATTGTTTTGAAGAGGATTTTTGCTAATGCTTCAGAGTTGATGAAGTTTTGATTCCAATTTGACTCCCCTGGGAAGAAATTTCAAGTCCAAGGGGAGGATATTTGGCCACGGGAGAAATTGGGAAGGGTTCTGTACCTATATAAACTTTCCACAGAAAACTGCACCAGACTTTATTTGCTGCCATCTGAAGAACGCCAGGTCAACTACCCTCAGCTGATGCCTCCCTTATATCTCCTGTGCAGAGAGGTAAACAGTCCTGTGTTTCACTTTTATTTTTAAAGGTCTTATGCCAATTTTGGTAGTTTGTGCAGTACATTTGTGTTCGGTATTAAGTTAATTATAAGGTGATATAGTGTTATTGGAACGACACAGCATAAAAAAGTTGATAAATTGCTAAAATCTAAGTTTTCTGGCGGTGTGAGTATTACACTTCACTGTCTTGGAAAACATGGAATCCTAGATATTTATACATATGAACAGAATCACGAGGGGATGATGGAAACGACGTTGCTCTTGGGCTTTCTCGTTGCACTGTAAATGCTTCTTCAGGAGCAATGCAGTGAAGGTAATGGAATGTAAAAATTCAGTAGAGTACCCCTTGGTCTGGTGGCTAAATCTCTCGCTTCGCACTGCGAAGTTAGAAACACTGGGCGTATTTCTTTACACTGGTTGTCTATGTTCACCCATCAGTAAAATGGGTACCTGGGTGTTAGTCGACTGGTGTGGGTCGCATCCTGGGGCAAAGCTGACCTAATTTGCCCGAAATGCAAAGCGGCTTTTTTTGTAGTAGTAAGTCATTGATGTCAGCTAGGACTGTATACCTTGTACATGTACTTGTAGAAATGAAGATATTGTTTTTATTATTAATATTTTTATTATTATTATTATTATTATTATTATTATTATTATTATTATTATTATTATTATTATTATTATTGTTATTATAGAGCCCAAGGAGGTGTGTCCTGGAGTTTACCTGGAGAGAGTTCCGGGGGTCAACGCCCCCGCGGCCCTGTCTGTGACCAGGCCTCCTGGTGGATCAGAGCCTGATCAACCGGGCTGTTGCTGCTGGCTGCACGCAAACCAACGTACGAGCCACAGCCTGGCTGATCAGAAACTGACTTTAGGTGCTTGTCCAGTGCCAGCTTGAAGACTGCCAGGGGTCTGTTGGTAATCCCCCTTATGTATGCTGGGAGGCAGTTGAACAGTCTCGGGCCCCTGACACTTATTGTATGATCTCTTAACGTGCTAGTGACACCCCTGCTTTTCATTGGGGGATGGTGCATCGTCTGCCAAGTCTTTTGCTTTCGTAGTGAGAGATTTTCGTGTGCAAGTTCGGTACTAGTCCCTCTAGGATTTTCCAGGTGTATATAATCATGTATCTCTCCCTCCTGCGTTCCAGGGAATACAGGTTTAGGAACCTCAAGCGCTCCCAGTAATTGAGGTGTTTTATCTCCATTATGCACGCCGTGAAAGTTCTCTGTACATTTTCTAGGTCGGCAATTTCACCTGCCTTGAAAGGTGCTGTTAGTGTGCAGCAATATTCGAGCCTAGATAGAACAAGTGACCTGAAGAGTGTCATCATGGGCTTGGCCTCCCTAGTTTTGAAGGTTCTCATTATCCATCCTGTCATTTTTCTAGCAGATGCGATTGATACAATGTTATGGTCCTTGAAGGTGAGATCCTCCGACATGATCACTCCAGGTCTTTGACGTTGGTGTTTCGCTCTATTTTGTGGCCAGAATTTGTTTTGTACTCTGATGAAGATTTAATTTCCTCATGTTTACCATATCTGAGTAATTGAAATTTCTCATCGTTGAACTTCATATTGTTTTCTGCAGCCCACTGAAAGATTTGGTTGATGTCCGCCTGGAGCTTTGCAGTGTCTGCAATGGAAGACACTGTCATGCAGATTCGGGTGTCATCTGCAAAGGAAGACACGGTGCTGTGGCTGACATCCTTGTCTATGTCGGATATGAGGATAAGGAACAAGATGGGAGCGAGTACTGTGCCTTGTGGAACAGAGCTTTTCACCGTAGCTGCCTCGGACTTTACTCTGTTGACGACTACTCTCTGTGTTCTGTTAGTGAGGAAAGTATAGATTCATCGACGACTTTTCCTGTTATTCCTTTAGCACGCATTTTGTGCGCTATTGCGCCATGGTCACACTTGTCGAAGGCTTTTGCAAAGTCTGTATATATTACATCTGCATTCTTTTTGTCTTCTAGTGCATTTAGGACCTTGTCGTAGTGACCCAATAGTTGAGACAGACAGGAGCGACCTGTTCTAAACCCATGTTGCCCTGGGTTGTGTAAACTGTGGGTTTCTAGATGGGTGGTGATCTTGCTTCTCAGGACCCTTTCAAAGATTTTTATGATATGGGATGTTAGTGCTATTGGTCTGTAGTTCTTTGCTGTTGCTTTACTGCCCCCTTTGTGGAGTGGGGCTATGTCTGTTGTTTTTAGTAACTGTGGGACGACCCCCGTGTCCATGCTCCCTCTCCATAGGATGGAAAAGGCTCGTGATAGGGGCTTCTTGCAGTTTTGATGAACACAGAGTTCCATGAGTCTGGCCCTGGGGCAGAGTGCATGGGCATGTCATTTATCGCCTGTTCGAAGTCATTTGGCGTCAGGATAACATCGGATAGGCTTGTGTTAATCAAATTTTGTGGCTCTCTCATAAAAATTCATTTTGATCTTCGACTCTCAGTCTGGTTAGCGGCTTGCTAAAAACTGAGTCATACTGGGACTTGAGTAGCTCACTCATTTCCTTTCTGTCATCTGTGTAGGACCCATCTTGTTTAAGTAGGGGCCCAATACTGGACGTTGTTCTCGATTTTGATTTGGCATAGGAGAAGAAATACTTTGGGTTTCTTTCGATTTCATTTATGGCTTTTAGTTCTTCCCGCGATTCCTGACTCCTAAAGGATTCTTTTAGCTTAAGTTCGATGCTTGCTATTTCTCTGACCAGTGTCTCCCTACGCATTTCAGATATATTGACCTCTTTTAGCCGCTCTGTTATTCTTTTCCGTCGCCTGTAAAGGGAGCGCCTGTCTCTTTCTATTTTACATCTACTCCTCCTTTTTTTAGAGGAATATGCCTTGTGCATACATCGAGTGCCACCGAGTTAATCTGTTCTAGGCATAAGTTGGGGTCTGTGTTGCTTAGTATATCTTCCCAGCTTATATCGGTTAGGACTTGGTTTACTTGGTCCCACTTTATGTTTTGTTATTGAAGTTGAATTTGGTGAATGCTCCTCGTGACTAGTCTCATTATGTCGGTCTGGGGCTCCCACGCATACATGTCTGAACCTCAATAATGTTGTGATCTGAGTATATTGTTTTTGATATGGTGACATTTCTTATCAGATCATCATTGTTAGTGAAGATGAGGTCTAGTGTATTCTCCAGTCTAGTAGGCTCTATTATTTGCTGGTTTAAATTGAATTTTGTGCAGAGATTTAAAAAGCTCGTGTGAGTGTGAGTTTTCATCAGAGCTGCCTCCTGGTGTTATTACTGAAAACAATATTATTTGCTATATTCCTCCATTTTAGGTGCCTTAAGTTGAAATCCCCAGGAGCAAGATGTTGGGTGCAGGAGCTGGAAGATTTTCCAGACAGTGGTCAATTTTTTAACAGCTGTTCCTGGAATTGCTGGGATGTTGCATCCAGAGGCTTGTAGACTACCACAATGACTAGGTTTTGGTTCTCGACCTTTACTGCTAAAACTTCCACTACATCATTTGAGGCTTTAAGGAGTTCTGTGCAAACAAGTGACTCTGCAATGTACAGGCCAACCCCTCCCCTTTTGCCTGTTCACTCTGTCACATCTTTTATAGGTTGTAACCTGGGATTCATATTTCGTTGTCCAAGTGATCCTTTATGTGGGTCTCAGTGAAAGCCGCGAACATTGCCTTTGCCTCTGCAAGCAGTCCACGGATGAAAGGTATTTTGTTGTTTGTTGCTGGCTTTAGACCCTGTATATTTGCAAAGAAGATTGTTCTCGGACTGGTGGTATTGTTGGTACTGGGGGGGGATGTTTTTTTCCGGCTTAGTATCTGTATCTGTTGGTTTGGAGTGGAGGCCATCGACTGTGGTTCCACTCCAGGAATGACTGGATTTGGTGTACGATTTCTGCCATTTCCTGCCAGTTTTTTTTTCCTTCCTGGCACTAAAAAACCTCTCCCTCTTGAGTGGCTGTGGCTACCCAGGTTTTCCCATGGCCTGGATGTTTTGTATCTTTTTGTCCCTTTAGATGGTATGCCTGGCAATTTAAGTTATAGCACAGTCTTTCCTGTACTGAAGAGGTACACAGTTCAGGGTGAAAAAGCTTACAGGAAGGGAGTTTGCATTTTCCTGTTGT